AGTTGTTGCTGGCTGTTGTTGCTTCTCTGTCCAAATGACTTCCTTTAGCATCTCTTGTAAGGTTGGTCTGGTTTTTAAAAATTCCCTTAATTCCTGCTTATCTGGAAATGTCCTAATTTTACCATCATATTTGAGGGAGAATTTTGCTGGGTACATAATTCTTGGTTGGAAATTTTTCTCTTTCAGTGTTTTATATATACCATCCCACTGTCATCTTGCCTGCATGATTTCTGCCAAGAAATCCGAGCTTGGTCTTATTGATTGCCCTTGTAGTTAACTTTTTGTTTTTCCCATGCTGCTCTCATGATTTTCTTTGTCTTTGGTTTTGGCGAGTTTGATAATGATATGTCTTGGTGATTTTCTTTTGGGGTCTGTCCTGTTTGGGATTCATTGGACTTCCTGAATGGATATATTTTCATCTTTCATCATATCAGGGAATTTCTCTTCCAACAAATCTCGTACACTTTTCTCAGTGGTTTTCTTTTTCTCTTTCTGTTCTGGAATTGTAATGACTTGTAGGTTATTCCTTTTGATGGTATCCCACATGAACCTTAGGCTTTCTTCATTTTGTTTTGATCTTTTCTCTGATTCATCCCTTTCTAAAGAAGTATTCAAGTATTTGTCTTCAGTCTCATTAATTCTGTCTTCCATGCATCAGTTCTACTCCTTTGCCCTTTCAGTGTGTTATCTATTTCTGAACGTTTAGTATTAATCTTCTGGATGTCTATCTGTAGATTTTGAATCATTTCTAATTTTTCATTTATTTTGTCATTTTTTTCTTGTATTTTCTTCCAAAATTCTTCTAGGGTTTTGTCTGTGCTTTCCTTGATCTGTCTCTCTCCTTTGAAGATACCTAAATATAATTCTTTTGAATTCCTCATCAGGGAGTTCCAATGCAGCATCTTCCTCAGGGATGTATTTTGGGTCTGTATCCTGGTCCCTTGTTTTCCTGCTTTATCTTGCTTCTTTGTGTGGACTGTGATGCTCTGTTGTCTACAAGGCATCGTGACATTTTTGTGTATATATTTAATTGGTGATTGTGTGTTGGGGTGACTTGCCCACGATTTTCGTTTTCTTTGTTTTGTTTGTATGTTATCTACGCAAGCAGGGTACTGTGCTGTGCTTCTCTATTCACTAGTTGACAGCATTTATATACTCACCACCTGTCTCCTTTCCTGTTGTCAGCCTATTGTATGTCCTTGCTGATCCTGGTAAACAGAGCGTATTCTTAGGTCACTGGAATCCGAATGAGAATGCTGTCACCTTAAAATCCAAAATGGTTGCCACTTGTAAAGATTCAAAATGGCTACGCCCTCAGTCACTTTAAATATCCAAAATGGCCATCCCTTATAAACAATCAAAATGGCTGCACCCTCCAGACAGCAGAAAGTCAACAGCTCAGGTTGTCTCCCTCCTTGCTGTTTCTTTCTTAGTCATAAGCCACCAGTGAAATCCTCCCTGCAGCCCTTGTGACCAGGGCTGATCTTTAGGTCAATTCTCAGGTCCCAACACCACTTGGAAATATTCAGGCTGTTGGTCCCATCAGAGTAGCTGACAGTCTCTGTACTCACTGTTTTCATTCAGGTTTTTCCACTAGTTGGTGTGCCTAATCCACTTCTGTATAGTTCCTTTCAAAGCTCAGGGCTCCAGGATTATCTTCTGTATCTCTGTCAATTGGGGTTTCTGTCTTTTGTTGAAGAGGGTCTGTGTCGCTTGTCTGCCTATTCCTCCATTTTACCAGAAGTCCAAGTTGGACATTCTTAGCCCAGGGACTGCCCATAAATGTATTTTGGAAACTGAAGGTTGGGCTTTATAAATGTTGACTTTAGCCATTCATTTTGGTAAACAATTTCTGTGCCCACTGTATAGTAAAACCTGCGAAAGCCAGTATCTTAGAAGGCAGAGACCTGTCAGAAAAGGAAAGCTCAAATATTTTCCACTAATAGAGAATGACAGAAAAGTGGTAAAACTGCACCTTTTGAAGGTGGAAAACTTAAGAAGTTTGGAAAAACTCGGCAGTCCCCTTGCATTCAGGCTCTTACATTCAGGCTCTTCACTGTAACAACTTGGTTTAATTGTTGAAGACAGTGCGTACACTGCAGTAGGGTGTTTTTCTGACTTATAATTATGGATTCTATAAATATTTAATTATTTGCATTTGAAATATCAACTTCTAGGCTAATTCAAGTATTTGAAGGTGATACAGATGAAAAGTTTTCTAGTACAAAAAGAAGTCTGTTTTAAGAAGCTAAATTTAAGTGCTGATCACTTTTTAATAAGTTATACAAAAGTAATAGATATTTTATGTTTTATCAAAGCTTCGTTTTTAAAATTTCCAACTTTTATTAGGGAAACTGTGCTGAAAACACCGCAAAGAAGCTTAATATTTCGCGAGATGAACAGGATATGTATGCTATTAACTCCTACACCAGAAGTAAAGCAGCATGGGAATCAGGAAAATTTGGAAATGAAGTTATTCCTGTCACAGTTATAGTAAAAGGTAGAGGGATAATGCTTTAAAATAGGTTCTAATTTTTAGTCAACTTTACATGATGCTGTTTTAAAAAATGTTTTAGAATGGTACATTTTTATCTTTGTTCACTTCAGCTGACATACTGATGCTTCTGTTTATGGTTAATAAAGGGAAACGCTGCCAGTTCAGAAATAACATTTCAACCCAACTGAAAGATCCGCTAACTATTAATTTTAATTAAAATAAATTTGAGAAATGGACATTCAGAACTCTTTCTTATATAAATGACAGGTAACACATTAGCTTAAATATAAAAGAGGATTTATTGTAAAGCTATGGGGTACCTCTCTATGAAAAGTGCATGAAGGCAGCATCCTCTGACCTCCTATAATTTCACCAGGGGAAGAGAGATCACCATCAGCAGCCCAATGCTGATTCCTATGAGGCCACACATGTTGCCACCCTCGAACCTTTTTATCAATTCTGACAACTGCTGTCCCTCCCACATATTCACTACTTCTTTGCTGGGTTCGATAATGTGTTGCAGTGGTTACAACAATTCACAGACAATACTCAACATTTATTAGGAAAGTAACAGCTTTATGTTCAGGAACACGCTCAGGATACAGTTCTTCCATCAGGACAGTCCCCCCTCAGCCATGCCCTCAGCCACGCCTCTTTGGCCCTTGGTCTCTTGGCCAGTCCTCTGCCCTGCTTAGACAAGTGTTACAAAGGTCTTTTAGCTCTGCCAATAGGTCCACCTAAGTGCCCCCAACTCTGCCAGCAAGCCTCCTGGCCAAAGGCACTCAGCTTTCTTGCTCTGTGGGCAGGCAAATCCACTGCTCTGTCTCATGCTTCATGGTTCCACTGCTGCCGTCTCTCTGCCAACTCTACCTGCTGACTATCTGCCGTCTCAGTGCAGGGATCTTGGGTCCAAGGACATGATCCTGTGTACTTCTGGTTCTTCTCCCTTGATGGCAGTGAGATCCCCTCTCCGACCTCTGTTGTTGTTGTTATGTGCCGTTGAGTAGGACCCGACTCATAGCAACCCCTCCTTGGGTTTCCGAGGCAGTATCACTAGGAGGACTCATTTTAAGCCTAGCAGAATGACAAAACTAATCAATCCCCATATTAGAGTTTCGTACACCTTATTTCCATAGTTTCACCTCCACAAGGGTGCTATAGATCTTATTTACATTATTAGCAAGCTATCCAGTCCCCTTTCGTGGGCCACAAGCACCTTATTTATATAGTTCCACCCAGTCATCTGGTGTAAGTCGCAAAGACCATGGCTAGAAAAGCCACACCAAGTAATTCACTGTACTACACTCTCAAAAATGAAAGAATAGTAGTAAGCAGTCAGCTCTGGGAACTACAGGGACTGGATTTGGGGATTCGGTACTATTAGGACATCCTCTCTTGGCTTCTCGTTGCTGCATCTTTTGTGCTTTGTTCTCTCAGCCTTCCTTAAGTTGCTGTCTCCAATTCTAGAGTCACATCTGTAGAGCTCTCAAAGGGGAAAGACCTCCTCCCCAACTGCAGCAGAATAAATCCACAGGAAAGACTCACTGGCTTGGTTTAGGTTATATCCCCATTCTTGGAATAATTACTGTGCTCAGGGTGACCGGATATTAGTGGTCAGGAGGATGGATCGTAGAAGGGACTGTAGAGAAGAGAATGGGATGTGGCTGTGTAGTTGTGTTGTTATGTGTCGTCGAGTCATACCCGACTCAGTGACCCCTCCTTGGGTTTCTGAGGCAGTATCACTACGTAAGTAGATTGTCCAACCTTCCTTCAGAGGAGTGGCTGGTGGGTTTGAGCCGCAAGCCTTCTGGTTAGCAGTCAAGTGCCTTAGCAGTCAATTACCAGAGCTCCCATGTAGAAGATTTTAAATCCCATTAAACTACTTACCTCCTCTTTAAAACACTAACATAATAGTTGGTAGATTGTAGATGAGAATTTACTTTGGTGGGTTTAAGCTATGCAGACATACAAAGGGAGTCACAGAAGCATTGTCACAGAGGCACAGTCACATACTTAAAAGGCATTGTTGTCATTAATTTCTTGTTGAATGAATAATTTTTGTCTTGCCTGGTGACTGCTTAATTTTTGTTTTAGGTAAACCAGATGTAGTGGTGAAAGAAGATGAAGAATATAAACGTGTTGATTTTAGCAAAGTTCCAAAGCTGAAGACAGTTTTCGAAAAAGAAAATGGTTAGTACTAAGAATGAAGCATAAGGAAAACCTGAATTGCTATACAAATAGATTTGTAATTGTATATGATTTACTAAAAAAAAATTTTTTTTGAATTAAGCCATTCTATAAAAATAATGTAGATGTTAGTTAACATCTTAAATGTATCCGGCTTAAATGAAATTAACAAAATGAGTGATACTAATTCAAAGTATATTTGAAATTGCTTGACAGATTATACCTCCAGTATATAAATCCTAGGAAAGAGATTCTGCAATATGGCGATTGAATTCAGTTCTTCATATGCAGTTCATCTTGAAAGTTTACTATAATTTGAAAATGAAGTTTAAATATAATGTTAAATACTAATAAGTTCCTGGAAGACTAGGATGACAGCTGTGTTGTTCATCATATTATCTCCAGTGCTTGGGATATAGTGGGTCCGTGATACATAGCTGTTGAATGTTAGTACAAATGACATGTAAATGTTCTAAATTATTTGGAAATCCTTTGAGAAAAGGTCACGTCTGTTTTTCAAATCGGCTGTATATAGCAGTGATAATCTGAAATTAATTTTTTCCCTTTTCTTGATTGAATTCCTCAGTGCCTAGTATCAGAATGGATCAATCTTAAAAATTTATATGGCAAAAGTATATTTTCCTAATTTTAGCAGAATTCAGAGCCAACATGGAATTTTCATTGGCAGTTTTACAGCTTTATTGACATAACTTACATACCATAAAATACTCCTGTTTAAAAGTTTCATAATTTTCATTGTTCACTGATATTTAGCCCAGGGCTCAGGGGCTGCTTTTCACTTGGAGTAGGTTCTGTTTTAAGGCTGGGGCTGAGGTAGGCAGGCCTGGGGCTTGGGGGCTGCTTTTTGATTGAGGGCAGATATATTTTAAGGCTGGGGCCCAAGGTAGGCGGGCCTGGGGTTGGGGGGCTGCTTTTCTCTTGGGTGGGGGCAGCTCTGTTTTAAGGCTGGGGCCTAAGGTAGGCGGGCACAGAGGGATTAGGAACAACTAAGGGAGATGGACTTGTATGTCAGTTTGTCATCCTGTGGTGGCTTATGTGCTGCTATGAGGCTGGCAGCTAGGCCACCCACGTTGCAAAATGCCAGCAGGGTCCCATGGTGGACAGGTTTCAGTGGAGCTTCTGGGCTAAGACAGACTCGGAAGAGGGAAGAGGCCATCACTTCTCAGACAACTGGCCAATGAAAGCCTTATGAATAGCAGTGAAACACTGTCTGATACATCACTGGAAAACTTTATGAACAGTCCTGAAACACTGTCCGATACAGTGCCTGAAGATGAGCTTATTGACTGGGGAAGAGCTGATTCCTCAGAGTACAGACAACTTCAATGATACGGATAGAGTAAAGCTTTCGGGACCTCCACTGGCTGATGTGGCGTGACTCAAAATGAGCAGAAACAGATGCAAACATCCATTAATAATCAGAACATAGAACGTATGAAGTATGAATCTAGGAAAATGAGTTATCAAAAATGAAATAGAATGCATAAAGATTGTTATCATAGGCATTAGTGAGCTGAAGTGGACTGACTTGGGCCATTTGAATCAGACAACCATATGATTTACTATGCTAAGAATGACAAATTGAAGAGGAGTGGTGTGGCATTCATCATCAGAAAGAGTGTTTCAGGATCTGTCCTGAGGTACAATGCTGTCTGTGATAGGATAATATCCATATGCCTACAAGGAAGACTCGTTACTACTACTATTATTCAAATCTATGCACCAATCGCCAAACTAAAGATTAGGAAATTGAAGATTTCTACCAACTTCTGCAGCCTGAAATTGACTGAACATGCAATTAGGATGCGTTGATTATTACTGGTGACAGGAATGCAGTAGTTGGAAACAAAGAAGAGTTACCAGTAGTTGGAAGATATGGCCTTTGTGATAAAATAACGCTGGAGATCACATGACAGAATTTTGCAAGACTAACGACTTACTTGTTGCAAATACCTTTTTTTCAACACCATAAACAATGGCTATACATGTGGACTTCACCAGATGGGATACACAGGAATCAGATTAACTACATCTGTGGCAAGAGGCAATGGAGAAGTTCAGTATCTTTGGCCAAAAAAAGGCCAGGAGCTGATGATTATGGAACAGACCATCATGTGCTCATATGCACATTTAAGTTGAAGTTGAATAGAATTAAAACAAATTGACAAGAGCCAAAATATGACCTTAATAATATCCCTCCTGAATTTAGAGACCATTTAAAAAATAGATTTGATGCACTGAACACCAGTGACCGAAAACCAGGGGAACTGTGAGATGACATCAAGAACATCATCCATAAAGAAAGCAAGAGGTCACTAAAAAGACAAGGGAAGAAGAGACCAAAATGGATGTCAGAAGAGACTCTGCAACTTGCCCTTGAATGGAGAGTATCTAAAGCAAATGGAAGAAATGACAAGATAAAAGAGTTGAACAGAAGATTTCCAAGAGCAGCTTGAGAAGACAAACCCAGTTACTGTAATGAAGTGCGCAAAGACCTAGAGTTAGAAAACCAAAAGGGAAGAAACATGCTCAGCATTTTTCAAGCTAAAAGAACAGAGGAAAAAATGTAAGCCTTGAGTTGCAATATTGAAAGATTCTATGGGCAAAATATTGAATGATGCAGGAAACATCAAAAGAAGATGGAAGGAATATAGTCACTGTACCAAAAAGAATTGGTCGATGTTCATCCATATCAGGAGGTGGCATATGATCAAGAACTAATGGTATTAAAGGAAGAAATTGAAGCTGCACTGAAGGAACTGCTGAAGAACAAGGCTCCAGGAATTGATGGAATGCCCATTGAGATGTTTCAACAAATGGATACCCTGCTGGAGGCACTCACTTGGCTGTGCCAAGAGATTTGGAAGACAGCTACCTGGCTAACTGACTGGAAGAGATCCATATTTGTACCCATTCCAAAGAAAGGTGATCCCACAGAATATGAAAATTATTGAATAATATCATTAATATCGCATGCAAGTAAAATCTTACGATAATTCAAAAATGGTTGCAGCAGTATATTGATAGAGAGCTTTCAGAAATGCAAGCTGGATTCAGAAGAGATTTGGAATAAGGGATATCATTGCTGATGTCAGATGGATCTTGGCTGAAAGCAAAGAATATGAGAAAGATGTGTACTCATGTTTTATTGACTATGCAAAAGCATTCTATTGTGTGGATCATAACAAATTATGGATAACATTGAGAAGAATGGGAATTCCAGAACACTTGATCGTATTCATGAGGAACCTGTACCTAGATCAGGAGGCTGTCATTTGAACAGAACAAGAGGATACCAACCGCATGGTTCAAAATCAAGAAGGGAGTGCGTCAAGGCTATATCCTTTCACCATACTTAATCAACTTGTATGCTGAGCAAATAATCCGAGAAGCTGGATTATATGAAGAATGTGGCATCAGGACTGGAGGAAGACATATTAACAAACTGCAGTATGCAGGTAACACAACTTTGCTTTCTGAAAGTGAGGATGACTTGAAGCACTTACTGATGAAGATTAAAGACTACAGTCTGCAGTATGGATTCCACCTCAATATAAAGAAAACAAAAATCCTTACAACTGGCCCAGTAAACAGCTTCATGGTAGATGGAGAAAAGATTGAAGTTGTCAAAGATTTCATATTACTTGGTTCTACAATCAACACCAATGAAAGCAGCAGTCAGAAAGACATCAAATGACGTATTGCATTGGTCAAGTCTGCTGCAAAAGACCTTTTTCAAGTGCTGAAGAGAAAAGATGTCTCCTTGAAGACCAAGGTGCGCCGAACCCAAGCCATGGTATTTTCAATCACTTCTTATGCATGTGAGAGCTGGACAAGGAATAAGGAAAACTGAAGAAGATTCGACGCTTTTGAGTTGTGGTGTTGGAGAGGAATGCTACGAGTACCATGGTCTGCTAAAAGGACTAACAGATCTGTCCTGGAAGAACAGCTTGATTGTTCCTTGGAAGTGAGAATGGCCAGACTTTGTCTCGCCTACTTTGGTCAGGTTGTTAGAAGGGACCATTCCCTGTAGAAGGATGTCATGCTTGGTAAAGTGGAGGGTCAATAAAGAAGAGGAAGTTCATCAATGAGATGGATAGACACGGTCGCTGCAATGATGGGCTCAGGTATAGCAAGGATCATGAGACTGGCATAGGACCAGGGCAGTGTTTCGTTCTGCTGTGCATAGGGTTGCTGAGTTGGAGACCATTTGATGGCACTTTACAACAACATTGATATTTAAGTGATTTAGTGATTCTAGAGAAGAAATACCTAATTTTAACACTGATACGAAAAATTATAGTGATTGTTGGCTATATTTTAGATAAACAAAGATCTCTACTATGGGGAGAAAGATGAAGTAGTTACCGTCTTTCAAGAGTTGCAGTGCAGATTTACTAGTGTTAACAAGCATGTGTTCCTGAGCTAGCTTTGAAAAAAGTGTTATGAAAAACTACTATGAAAAGGCATTCTTACACATTAACTGTGTTGTTGATAACTATGTTCATGTTCTCTGAGGGCAGGAATTATCTCCACTTTGTAATTCTCACACATTTGGCAACTTAAGCAGTGTGCTGTAGGTATGACTTAAATTGAACCAAATGAATTCAGTATGAAGGAATGTTTTGACTTTATGCTTATTGTTCCTTTTAGGCACAGTGACAGCTGCCAACGCTAGTACACTGAATGACGCAGCAGCTGCTGTGGTTCTGATGACTGCAGATGCAGCTAAGAGGCTCAAGGTTGAGCCACTGGCAAGAGTAGCAGGTATGTATGAAAAGTAAATTTTCTCTGTAAATTTTCACCCAAATCACAATAAAAATTAAAAAACAAAAAGACTAGCAGGTAGATGTTCTAACCTTGTTTACTCCTAACTCTCTGAAACTGATTTTCCTTTTTGGTTAACAGATAATATTGGAGTTGTCTGTTTCTATCTATGGGTTGTACTTTGTGACATAATGTAACTAATACATATTTTAACTGAGATTGAAGGTCCTTTTAATACTGTTTTGATAATATCATCTGCTTTATATAAGAGTAAACTTTAAAAAATTTTCCCAGTCCTATAGGATGAAAGTGAGAAAACAGGGTTCATATTTTATCACAGAGAGCCAGCAAGATAAAATAAAAAGAATATGGGATTAGGAGTCTAGAGATGTAAAACCTGGATGTTGTGGCATTTATTAACTATGTGGTTTTGGGCAAGACCTCAATTTCCTTAAGCCTTTTAGTAGCTGAAAAATCTTTGCCTTCTTCATAAGTATCAGTGTCAATCTAATGGATGTGAAATTGTAACAACTGAAACAAATGTGATTTTGTTACTTTATAAAAGCTTCTAACTTCATTTTATTCTTAGCTGCATCAGGGTTGCATAATAATATCAGGATTATTGACATTTTGCACTGAATAATTCTTTGTTGCGGAGAAGGTCCTGTGCATTTTGGGATGTTTAGCAGTATCTTTACTTCTACCCACTAGAGGCCAGTGGCATCCTTCTTCTTGTGACAACCAAAAATATCTTCATAGAGTGCCATATGTCCCTGGAGGCAAATTCCTCCCTACGCTGATTGAAAATCATTGATAATGTAATCTGATTGATTTACTTTTACAAAGTGTAGAATCTTAGAAAAGGAACAAATATATTTATATACATAATAGAGGTTAGGACACTTGCATTTTAATGGGATAATGTGGTTTTTGTATATAACAGGGGTTAGGTACAGCTTTGCATACTTGTAACAAAAGATTTTAACAACCGATTTATTTAAATAGCATTTGCTGATGCTGCTGTAGAACCTATTGATTTTCCAATTGCTCCTGCATATGCTGTATCTAAGGTAAGAACAAAGCGAGGGCCCATATCCCATTATGGTAGCTTCTGGTATGCTTATTCCAAGGTTTCAGGTGAAAGAATAATGATAACTTAGTTTGGAGTCTTCCTACTTCTGAAAATAAGAACAACAAGGATAACAAAATGAAAAAACAGCAACCCATAAGCTACATCTTCAGTGGAATAGATAAAAAACAACATAGCTGTAAACTACTTATGTGAGCCGGAGCCCACATAGCTGGTGTGGTAACCATAAAGGTGTAGCTCCTGTGGCAAAGAAGAAAAAGACAGTGCTGAGGGTCTTGGTGATGCTAGGTCTGGAAAACCAATAATCACTCCTAGAAGAGGTCTTGCAAAAAGGGTGTGGGGGCAGCATCTTCCCATCTCCTTTGATTTCACCAGAGGGACAAAGAATCACCATCAGCAGCTCAAGGCTGACTGCTGTGAGGCCAGACATGCTGCCGCCGCCCTGCAACATTTTGACCAATTCTGACACCAACTCTCCCTCCCCTGATACTCTCTACTTCTCTGCTGGCTTTGATAATATGTTGCAATGGCAACAGAGAACTCAGACAATACTCACATTTATGGGGTTTATTAGGAAGTGCCAGGTTACAATTCAGGTTCAGGAAAGCTCAGGATACAATTCTGTGATCAGGACAGGCTCCCCTTGGCCATGCCCGAATGCACACTTCTCTTTGGCCCTTTGGCTGCTTGGCAGCTTCTGTGCTGCCTGGTCAAGTGTTACAGAGCTCTTCTAGCTCTTTGCCGATAGGTGCACCTAAATGTGCCCCACTCTGCCAGCAAGCTTAACCTTCAAAGGCACTCACCTTTCTTGCTCTGTGGGCCAGCAAGCCCTCCACTCTGTCTTGTGCTATTCTCTCAGTTCTGCCACCTCTGCTGCCACCATCTCTCTGTTGTCTCAGCACAGGGATCTCAGGTCCAACGATGTGCTCCACTCCTGGCTCTTCTCTTGATGGTCTTGATGGCTGTGAGAAACCCCCTTCTGTCTCTGGGAGAACTCATTTTAAGTCTAGTGAGATGACAAAACTGACCAATCCCCACATTACGGTTCGATATATCTTATTTGCGTGGCCCCACCCCCACAAGGGTACCATGTACGTTATTTATATTATCAGCAAGCTATCCATTCCCCTTAGTGGGCCACAAACACCTTACATTTGCATAGTTCCACCCAGTCATCTAGGAGGAGTCACAAAGACCATGGTTAGAAGACCTGTACTAAGTAATTCACTGGGCCACAGGTCTCCATCCTAAAAGGGCACTTATGGAAGCAGGTTTTAGAATAAGCAGTGAAAAGAGACAGAAAACCTAAAATCTCCAAATTGTCCATAAGTGATATCAAAGGAAGAACTAAACAAGTCTCTATGGGAAATGGCTAAGGGGCCACAGAAAAAAGAGGAAGTGCCAGGGTGGTTTAGGGGCTCAGGGAGCTCAGAAGTCCACAGCAAATATTCCGTTCTGGAAAAAGAGGTCCTTACCCTGAGGAGAGAATTTCTGAGCAGCATCTAGGAAAATAGCAGAATCAGTTGAAAAAGAGGATAGAGAAGGCTCATAAAGTGTAGGGAATAGAGATCTCTAGAGATGGCAGACCTCAAAAATTACAGGCATATATATACAAGAATGTATCTTACTGGAAGGAAAGAGTGATAAAGAAGTCTGCATTATGGCGAGTGCTTGGATGCACAAACAGGTAATGACACTTGGTTGCTAACTGAAAGGTTGAAGTACACCCAGAGGCACCTCAGAAGAAAGGTCTTGATTGATCTACTTCTGAAAAACCAGCCATTGAAAACCCTGTGGAACAGCTTTACTGTGACCCACATGGGGCCACCATGAGTCAGAATCAACTCCATGGCAACTTGTTCTGGTTATTACAAAGGTCAATACTTCCGCTATTAGAACAGAAAGCCTTTGAGCTCTACAAGTTGGAAAGCTACCTGAGTTCATTGGGGGAAGAGAAGTGAAAGGGGGATAAAGAGTTCCATATTAATTTTATTATTGTTTTGTTGTTGTTGTTATGTGCTATCGACTCAGGCCCGACTCACAGCGATACTTCCTTGGGTTTCCGAGGCAGTATCACTACGGAAGTAGATTATCTCATCTTCCTTCTGAGGAGTGGCTGGTGGGTTTGAACTGCCGGCCTTCTGGTTAGCAGTCAAGTACCTTTAGGCACTACACTACCAGAGCTCCTTACTATTATTCTTTACAACAGTAAAATCTCTAAAGGTACACTAACAATGTTTTATAAAGGTGTTACCATAAGGATAGCCACTGAAACCAAAACACTTTCCTGAACAGCTTAGCAACTACCAAAACAAACATCACATAATAATGAAAAAAAAAGAAAACCCCAAACTGTTGCTTTTGACTTGATTTTGACTCCTGGCAACCTCATGTTCCAACACAATAGTACTGTTCCATAGGGTTGTCTTGGCTGTAATCTTTACAGAAGCAGGTCCCCAGGCCTTTTTTCATGGAGCTGCTGGGTAGCTTTGAACCAACACCATTTAGGTTACCAGCTGATTGGAAACTACATAAAAATCTTTACATAATTAAACAATGATGACATACCAGCTGGGAGTATCTGTGCCCCAAATAACTCTGCAGCAACTTTCATAAAGCATAAACTACGGGAGATTCAACAAAACAGGAAAATATTTACTAGGAGAGACAAATCTCTCTCAGAATAAGAACATAAAACAAATATTTAGTAAAGTAGATCTCAAGAATATACACCTACTCCTCACTTACTGTGTCATCATCCAACATTGTGCATTTATAAGAATTTTGAAAAAATTTTCAAGTGGCAACTCTGATGGCCCAGGATACATAAGGGACGGTGGTCAGTCAGCCACAAACTACCTTCTTCCATTTGTTCACGATGACTGACTCTGGCCAGAGGGTGCAGGGAGATGGTGGGATGATGTGAGATTGTGAGCAGGCAGGGGAGGCTAGATAAGCACTTAAAGGTACATGGGAGGTTGGTGGGGACAGGAGGGCCACGGGAGATGGAGGACAAGAGAGGTTCCTACCTAGGGCAGGAGGCAGCAGGCAACACATGACCATCACCAACCCTCACCCCCATAGGCTGTGTTGTGGTGGGGAAGGTGTGGTGGGAGAGGGCGGCCTACAGTGTCATGTGCATCTTGAGATGCTCCAAGGATGCCTAATGGATGATGAGTGACTGGGGTGGGTCACTGCCCCCAGCTCTTGCTTAATGACTTGACCTGGTCTTTGGAACTTAACTATGTTGGTAAGTGAGGAGTGGGTGTATGTGATTTTCTTGAATAGTCTGTTGATACTTGAAAGTGCATTCTCTAATTTGGGGTACGTAATTTGATAATATACCCACTCCTCACTTGACGACATGGTTAGGTTCCAAAGACCAGGTCATTATGTGAATATTGGCATTATGCAAAAATGGACTATATCATCATTATATTAAATGTGAAATGTCAGATAATGAGATAGTGAGGAATAGGTTTATTTGTAACTCTCTTGCCAAAGTGAAATACAAACCAAAATTACAGAATTATAAGAAAATGATGAAATAGAAATTTTGATTATCTTTTAAAAAATTTTAGGTTCTTAAAAGTGCGGGATTAAAAAAAGAAGATATTACAATGTGGGAAGTAAATGAAGCCTTTAGTGTGGTTGTACTAGCAAACATCAAAATGCTAGAGATTGATCACCAAAAAGTGAATATCAATGGAGGAGCTGTTTCTCTGGGACATCCCATTGGGTAGGTAAAATCACAAGGAAATACTTATCTTGGTTAATAGCTGACTTGCATTTCTAGCTAAACTTGGTAATTCCTATTGTTTATGGTTTAACAGTTTTCCTTCACCTCCATCCTTCATAAGGCAAATACCATTTTTATTGGCAACTGATAGTGAATGCAGGGATGTCATATCTGTTGCTTGGAACCTAATATTGTTTTATACTGAAGGAAAGAAGGGAGCTCTGGTGGTATAGTGCCTAAGGCATTTCAGTGCTAACCAGAAGGCTGGTGTTTCAAACCCACCAGCCACTCCTTCGAAGGATGACTAGGCAATCTACTTTGGTAGAGATACCACCTCAGAAACCCAGAATTCAAAGACTAAAGTTGATGCTCAGGTTTTTAAAATAGTTGTAACTGTTCTTGAAATAAATTTCTCAAGTTTAAGAAAAGTAGTTACTGGGAAAAGAAAAAGGGTGAGGGGCAAGTCTGCTGGTCCAATAGAGCCTGGTGCAACCACTGAGACTATGGTCCCTAGCTGCCCTTCAGGTCTGGAATTGAACCCACACCTGTGGCTTCCAGTCAAACAGGAGACAGGCATATGAGTTGAAAGTTTACCTGAGGTGGATGCACTCCTTGGAGAGAACAATCATGGGAGAAGGAGGGGCTGTTTGTGCGTGAGGAGACAGCTCGGGGGGGGTGGGAGCACCACAGGGGGTGGACACAGGGTGGCTATTGGGGGGGAGTGGGAGGGCAGCTGCTGCATCATGGTGGATTGTGGTCAGTGTCATGAGACGAAGTGTGTGAACTGCTGTATGGAGAGAGCATTTGCTCTGTGAATTTTCACCCAAATCACAATTAAAAAAAAAAAAAAAATATATTAGAATATGCAAAACACCACATAACATAGACGAGATTGGAGGACATTAGGCTGAGTGAAATAAGTCAACTACAGAAGGACAAATATAGTATTAGT